TCTCAAGTACATGAGGATTTTGAATTGTATTTTTTGAATTGCATTAATATGAAAAAGTTTTCTCCAATATCCTATATTTTATTTTGTTTATCATAAAATTCAAAGTGAAGACCTCAATTAAACTTCAAGTTTCAACAGTGGCTTGAATTTTAAACTCATGATTTTTTTTTTTTTTTTACATAGTTAGTATTTTGCAAAATATAGATATACAAAATTATCTTTATTTGACCAAACAAGTTAAACAAGGAGAACCAAATGAGAAAAGGAGAGTTATGCAGGTAGAAAATACACTTTTTAAACTTTAATTTGCATCATCTTATAAAACTTTGAGGCGCAGGATCACTCTCTTTTAGCAATTGAAAGTGTATTTAGCCAGGGCCTTGTTGCTCAATTACTTTTCCTCGGATTCTTATCTTTAATTTTTAAATGACTCGGAAGTTAAAGTGTTGAAAATCAAGTGAATGGTGCAGATTCTAAAGGCAGATGGGTTTTTTTGGAAAACTGTTTATTTGGATAGTGGTGATATTGATTTTTGTAAAATTAAAAAAAATAAATATAAAATTAATTATTGCATTAATAAGATTAAAATTAGTGTGATGATGATATGCGGTTAAATATAAAAGTAACAATAATGGTAAAATAAATTATAATGTAAAAAAATTACTATTAAATGTATTAAAATAAAAATTATATGTAATAAAAATTTTAAATAATTTAATATTTATAAAATTAATGAGTACTAAAAAATTATTTGAAATAATAATTTTATTAATAAAATTTATATATTTGTTAGTTTATTATATAATAATAAAATTATTTATTAATTTATTATATAAGAAAAAATAAAAAAATAAATTAGGGAATTTTGAGTTAATATTAAAATTATGAGGGTAAAAACGGAAAAAAAAACCATGATGCAATCGACTACTGGACCATTTGGATCCGATTACCAACCGCCAACGATCTCATCGTGCCGGAAATCCATTTCGGTCTCCACGTGGGCATGGATTTGGAAGGCAAACAGCCCCTCACTGAGAGTCCGGTTGCGTCCAAACAGGGCCTTAAGCAATGACTTGACTTCTACGACAACTATTAACTATCCGTGGGCGCCTAGGATACCAGACTCGGTCCCTTGTTGACAGCTCTAGATTTCTGAGAACCTTCCCAAAGTAAATAACCCCAGTCCCCACGTAGTCCTTGGCTGTTTTTATCTATATATCTATATATCTATATATATATATATTTATTTATTTATTTATCCAAGGGAATTACCTTGGTAATTATGTTCAGTTTTAAGCAAGCTATAATCCATCGAGGAACCAAAAGAAAAAACAAAGAGGAAAAAGAGAAAAGAAATTAACAAGTTTCATTACCAACTATGAAGATGTTTTATTAGTCTGCCTTGAGCAAAACGACTCTCTGTGTCTCTCTCCTACACGGGCCACGCCCATGGCTATGGTACCAGCTGTTTTCTTTCTACTTCTTTTACTTAGCTTACATGTAAAAGCTGACCAAAACCAGCAATCCAATTTGATAAAATTATGTTCTTCACTCTCTCCCAGAACCGAACCTTCCTCATGGGCTTCACCTTCAGGTCATTTCGCATTTGGTTTCTATCCGCAAGGCGATGGATTTGCTGTTGGAATATGGCTTGTCGGTCTCCCGAAGAACACTACTGTCTGGACAGCAAACCGAGATGATCCCCCCGTCTCCTCAAACGCTACTTTAAACTTCACAAGAGACGGCGTGTTGCTACTTCGGACTGAGGATGGTACAGAAAAGCCCATTGCTGGTCTGCCACACACCGCCGACTCTGCTTCTATGCTGGATACCGGTAACTTTGTTCTCTACAATAACAGTGCTGTTATATGGGAAAGCTTTGACAACCCAACTGACACGTTATTAGGAGGCCAGAATTTATCCACAAGTGGTGTCTTGATTTCCAGTGTCTCAAGTTCGAACCACTCGAGTGGAATTTTTCGTCTCTACATGCAGACTGATGGAAACCTTGTGGCCTATTCCGGTTTACCTGATATAAATGCTGCATACTGGGACTCTCGGACTTATAGCTCAGATTTTTATGTGTTGAATCTCGATAACAGAGGGCTCCTAGCCCTGTTTGGTTATCATTTCAATGTACATATTTTAGCAAACAGCTCTTATTCTGGGAATAACAGAATTACCATCTATCGAGCAACAATTGATCCAGATGGAGTTTTTAGAATGTACTTGCATCATTTTGACAGCGGCACCAACTCAAGTGAAAAGATGGTGTGGCAAAGTTTAGAACATCGATGCGAAGTTAAGGGCTATTGTGGCTTGAATAGTTACTGTTCAGAGAGGGGTAATGATGCTGACTGCATTTGTTATCCTGGTTTTACGGTAATCAATGAGAATAAGATGTCCCTTGGCTGCTCTCAGGACTCCACTGAAGATGATTGCATACACAGGAAATATCCAGAGATGCACTACAATATTACTACTGTGGAGAATATGTCATGGGCTGACAACCCTTATTCTGTGAGACAAATGAAGAAGGAAGACTGTAAAAAGTCTTGCCAGGAGGATTGTTATTGTGGAGCAGTACTGTATTCCACTAGTGGCGACTGTAACATGTACAAGTTACCACTCAGATACGGTAGAAGAAACGAAAATATATCAACTTTAGCCTTCATCAAGTTGATCCATGGAAGCTCCGCAAACGACATTCCCTTGGTTCCAAAAGTCATCAACGAAGAAAACTCACATTTGCTTTTATCTCTTGCCATAAGTTTAGGTTCCATTACGTGCCTTTGTTTTGCCCTTGCAGTCTCTGGTTTCCTCATATACAAGCATAGAATTCACAGTTACAGAAAGCATTCAGAAAATAAAATTACTCCAGGATTAACCGAGCAGTTTACGCTGAGATCATTTTCTTTTATTGAACTCCAGGAAGCAACGGACTGTTTCAGGGAAGAGTTGGGTAGAGGGTCCTTTGGAGCAGTTTATAAAGGAACTCTACCAATTGCAGGGGGTACTGAAATTGTTGCAATTATGAAACTAGAGAATTTTGATGAAGGAGAAAGAGAGTTTCAGACGGAAGTGACAGCCATTGGGAGAACCAACCACAGGAACTTGGTTCGGTTGCTTGGTTATTGTGTGGAAGGTTCAAAGAAGCTTCTCGTTTATGAATACTTGAGCAACGGTTCACTTGCGGATTTTCTATTTCATAACAAGGTGCGTCCAATTTGGAAGGAAAGAGTCAGAATCGCATTGGATGTGGCAAAAGGGATTCTTTATTTACATGAAGAGTGTGTTGTCCGTATCATCCACTGTAACATAAGGCCCCAAAACATACTCTTAGATGATTCTCTGACTGCCAAAATCTCAGATTTCGGGTTAGCCAAGCTATTGATGGCAAATCAAACAAGCATTACAGGGATTAGAAGCAGAGGAGGGCATTTGGCACTAGAATGGCAAAGGAATGCCCCAATATCTGTAAAAGTTGATGTTTACAGTTTTGGGATCGTTCTGCTGGAGATCATCTGTTGTAGGAGTAGCATAGAAGTAGAGGTTTGTACAGCAGACGAGATACTTCTTTCAAGTTGGGCATATAATTGCTTTCTCTCTGGCGAGCTGAATAAGCTTGTGAAAGATGAAGAAGTGGACTTGAAAATGCTGGAAAGAATGGTAAAGGTCGGACTGTGGTGTATTCAAGACGACCCAACTCTACGTCCTTTAATGAAGGATGTAATCTTGATGTTGGAAGGGATGATGGAAGTACCCCTCCCTCCATCTCCACTTCATCATTCTCTTGATATTTAACAATTTTTAATTACATCATCGCTACATTACATGTATCAGGATTGTACTCTCGTGCTTGTATTTTTGCTTTGCATGTATTTATGTTTTTGTAGTATTAAAAATTCTTAAGTTTGGTTAATTTGGTAATTTAGATTTAAAAAATATTAATTAGATTTTAAATTTAGTATTAATTATAAATTATATTATAAAACACATTTAAATATATCTTCAGGATTAGTTTTAAATTCTTGAACTTATTTGATTCTTTTTTAAATATTTATAAATTTGAAAATTTTTTTATATCTCTCAAATATATAAATACATTGAATCTTAATTAATTTGTGCATAGAATTTTTATTTCGTGCTCATAATTAAATCAAATCCGAATTCACGATCTTAAATTCATCCTACATGTTACCTATTATTATGTGTTTCGTATGTAATGTGAAGTTTGGGAAATGCTTCGAAGCCATTCAGTCAATCCCTTTCCTTTTAATAATAACAAACAAAAAATGTTGGAGCCCTTAACTTGTTTGTCCCGTTAAGAATTAATTCACAGAATTCTTGTTTTTTATACTGAAAGAAGTGGGAAGTCAACGACTTAAGTACAAAAGCATTTAAAAAATTGTAAAATTTAGTTTAATTGATTTATGTAATATTTTTAAAAGGTAATATCAAACAGTCAACTAAATCTTACTATTTACATAAATTTTTTCTTTATTTTTAAATTATGGTTTTTATTTAAAAAATGGTTATGGCCCATATATATATTTTTGTTGCTAGTCGTTACCATGATAAGAAATACTAATTAATAAGAAAGAAAAGGAAATACATGTTATTTATAAAGAAGGAACTCACAAATTAACATTTGGCTTTTATATCCTTAAAATTCTTATTTAATTTCTTTTTTAACTAGTAGCCATAGAGAAAAAAAAGTGGGGGGAAAGCTCCTGGTGACAGCGCTTTTGATAGCGACTTTGATTTGTGGGCAATGAAAAATTGGAATTGCCTCAATGACCAATTAACGCGGTTTGCTTTTCACCGTACTTATGAAGAAGAGTCTACACCATTTAGCACTCCACAGTTAGTAGAAATGAAGCGACTTGACTTTAGAATAGGATGGCATTTATTTGATTATATATTTCAAACTTCAGCATAAAAAATAAGTTCAAACAAAAATACCTATTGCACTAATCCTTCTCTCTCACAGGTTCACGATGACTTCCATGCCTACTGTTCTCTTACTCCTAAGTTTTCTATGTTTAGCCAAAAGTGGAGTTCAAGAAGATCAACGTAGCCACATAACACCAGGCTCTATCATTTACCCCAATGCACGTGCATGGCCTTCCCCTTCTGGTCGGTTTGCATTTGGTTTTTACGAGCAAGATAATGGCTTCAGGGTCGGGATTTGGTTACTTGCTAAAAGAAATAAAATAGTATGGACAGCAAATCGTGATGATCCAGCACTACCATTCACTTCGAAAGCAACTCTAAAATTTACTGAGGATGGAAAGCTTGTTTTGACAAATGAGCTGGGGGAGATGAGACTTATTGCTAACGTAACTGCCTCCTCTGCGTCCATGCTAGATTCAGGCAATTTTGTGCTCTACGACAAGCACAAGAAGATCATTTGGGAGAGTTTCCAGTATCCGACTGATACCATTTTAGGAGGTCAGAATTTGTATCCTGGCAGTCGGTTGTTCTCTAGTGTATCAGAAACAAACTACTCAGCAGGAAGGTTTCACCTCGAGATGCAGGAAGATGGAAACCTTGTTCTCTACCCGATGTATACGGACAATACTGGAGCAAATGCATACTGGAGTTCTAAGACTTTTGGGACCAATACCAAGTTTCACCTTTATCTCAATTCTACAGGTCTTCTACAGCTCATCAATGAAACTGATTCGAGCATCTACAATACACTTGGTGGAGCGTCTTATAGTTCGGCTGCCTATAGAAGTCCGCTCGGCTATCACCCCTACAGCTACTACAACAACCAAAACAAGAACACCACAGACAGCATCATTTATCGTGCAACCCTTGATGTTGATGGAATTTTCCGCTTATATTCTCATATATACAATGGAAGTGGTGAAGTCAACGAATCGGTTGTGTGGTATGCATTGAAAGATACATGCGATGTTAATGGTTACTGCGGCTTCAACAGCTATTGCACATACAATGATTACCAGCCTACCTGCCTTTGCCTTCCCGGTACTGATTTTGTGGATCAATTTCATAGCATTTATGGCTGCAAGAGGAATTATACTGAAGCTCAGTGTAAAAGTGATAAGGCTAATGCACACCATTTCAGCATAGAGACCATGGAGAATATGGTTTGGGAAGATACTTCTTACAGCAAAGAGCCAATGTCAGTGGAAGAGTGTAGCAGATCTTGTCTGGAGGACTGTAACTGTGAGGCAGCGTTGTTTAAGGGAGGGATCTGCATGAAACAAAAGCTTCCCCTGAGGTATGCAAAAAGAGATTTCCAATCAGAAGAGGAGTCCAGGGCTTTACTGAAGGTGGGGAAAAGACGCCCAGAAGAACATGATATCCGACCTATCCCACCACCAAAGCTACCGGTATATCACATCAAAAGCCAAAAAGTAGTGGTGGAAGTTCTTCTTTTGACATTTAGTCTGGTTACCTTTTCTTGTGTTTTCCTTACAATTTTTGGACTATTTGTTTACAAGTTTCGAGTTCTAAGATACAAAAGACTGTTAGAAGATAGAAATTGGGGCCTAACCAAGGAGCTTACTCTGCAATTATTTTCGTACGATCAGCTTCGGAAAGCAACAAACGGCTTTAAAGAAGAGTTGGGTAAAGGCTCGTTTGGAGCTGTCTACAAGGGGACCTTATACAAAGGCAGGGAAACTGTTGCTGTTAAGAGACTTGAGAAGTTAATCGAAGAAGGCGAAAGAGAGTTCCAGGCAGAGATGCGAGCAATTGGTAGAACTCACCACAGGAATTTAGTTCGGCTTTTGGGATATTGCGCTGAGGATTCCAAGAGGCTGTTGGTCTATGAATACATGGCTAATGGCTCCCTTGCTAACCTACTTTTCAAGGCAACAAGGCGCCCAGATTGGAATGAAAGAATAAGAATAGCCCTGGATGTCGCAAGAGCAATCCTCTATTTACATGAAGAATGTGAGACCTCCATCATTCATTGCGACATAAAGCCTCAGAACATATTAATGGATGATACTTGGACAGCTAAAATTTCCGATTTCGGGCTGGCAAAATTGTTGATGGGAGATCAAACAAGGACCTTCACAGGAGCAAGGGGAACTAGAGGATACATGGCACCAGAATGGCAGAAAAACACTCCAATATCGGTGAAGGCTGATATTTACAGTTTTGGAATAGTGCTATTGGAAATTATCTGTTGCAGAAGGAACTTGGACACAACCGTATCAAAAACGGAGGAGATTATTCTGTCCACTTGGGTCTATAGATGTTTTGTTGAAAAGAGGTTGGATAAAGTTGTTCTTGGTGAAGAAGTAGATAAGAAAAACTTGGAAAGAATGGTGATGGTGGCACTTTGGTGTATTCAAGATGAACCAGCTCTCCGTCCTTGCATAAAGAGTGTAGTGATGATGTTGGAGGGGATAACTGATATATCTATTCCTCCATGTCCAACTGCTTCTCTTTCCTCCATGTAACTAGAGTAAGGCGATAATTATCTCATTCAAATTGCAGCTGTACTAAATGCATAAATATTGCTCTATATATTTTCTTTCCCTTGTCAACATAAAAGCAAAATGCATATCATGTCTGTTTTTAACTTCTTTTGTTGGTGATGAATACATCGGGGTGGAAGTTATTTTAATTTTTTTTTAAGTACGTATAAAATTACGACGAATTTAAATTAAATCATTCTAAAAAAACAATAATCAAGATGAAGTGAAAAAGTTGACGGTAAAGATTTATGCTCAAAATTATATAATCATCCAGCATAACAAATGCCACAAATCGTGTAATATGTAGATATAGTATTAAATTTTTAATTTTAATAATAAAAATTTTAATTAAAAAAAAATCTAATTCGATCTAACATCATAAACATAGAAAAAGAATAATTTGTTAATAATATGGGCAAGAGTTCCTCAATTAAATTAAAGAAATAATAAAATCAAAACATATTTAGTGCAAATTGATGTCAAGAACATGGACCCTGATCGTGTAAGCATAAGCGCTTTTTTTTTTTTGAAACAAAGAAATTCCATTCATTCATTCGCAATTGTAGCATCAGCCTGTAAGGCCCTACATAAAAAGAGAGGTGGCTCTTCGATCCAGTACATGTCTTGCTCAAAACTCAAAGCATATTTGGCTAAACTATGAGCTACATTGTTTCACGTCCTTCCGATGTGCATGAAATTACTGCTGGTAAAACCTCCACTTATATCCTTTGCTTCTCCAGTTATCACGCCTATGGGTGACAGGTCCGGTTCGCACGATTGCAACTGTTTCAATAGAGCCAATAAATCTCCCTCTATTGTTAGAGAGCTAAATCCCATTTACAGAGCAACCATCAGTTGGCCTTGTGAGTTACGGATCACGACTCCCGCTCTTGCTGTCTTCTCAGATCTATTCTGTGCAGCATCAAAATTCACCTTATAACTTCCATCGTTGGGTGGTTGCCATCGAGAAGTTTCCTGCTCCTGTCCCCTCCTTGCTTACTCCTAAGCTTAGTTGTATTCACGGATGTATTGTCTGATGAAATTTGCATTGTGACTTGCTGTGCCTATCTCCTCTTCATGTATTGCTTCTATTAGTCCAGGTTGACCAGCTTGCCACGGCCAGCTGTTGTAAGTGTTTGGTTGTTAGCTTTAGTATTTTTCCTTTGAGCCATACCTGTCCTTCATCTGGTTCTTCCCATTGAGCATCCCAAGAAAAATTCAGACACTGCCATACCTCTTTCATCGCTTCGCAATTTTTTAGGGCATGGAATAATGTTTCTCTTCCATTTTTGCATCTTCCGCAGACCTCATTGACTTGAATTCCTTGTTCTGCCAGTGCAGCCATGGCTGATAATATACCATGACAGGCCCTCCATAAGAAAACTTTGATTTTGTTTGGAACGCTTGCTAACCATAATTTCCTCCATAGCTCCTATTCCTTCTCCCCCATGCGTGCCCAGTCGTGATGCTCTTCATTGCTTAGCATTCTATACCCGCTCTTCACTGAATATTCTCCCCTGTTATCATAGTGCTATATAAGAACATCTGACCCTTCCATCATACTCGTTGGTATCATGCTGATGGCTTCTGCTTTTGCTTCCACTTATCTATTCCTCAATGCGGTCTCGTTCCATTACCCAGAGTTAGGATCGATTAGCTCATTCACATTCTCATCTATGCTCCATGCATCCCTAGGTGACTGGATCATAAAGTCGCTGTTGAAAGGCACCCACTGATGGGTCTACACTTTGATGGATTTTCTGTTTCCTACCACCTCACTCCCCGTTTGAGTATAGAAATAGACTCCCATAGACTCCTCCATGTTAGTGATGGCTTGTTGTCCAAACTCGAATGAAGAAATGAAACTTTTGGAAAGTATTTACCTTTAAGCACACGATGCACAAGTGTGTGTTCATTCTGGATGCCCAACGTAATCTTGGTTTCGGCTTTCATCTTGTCCTGCGTGTTGCAGCTGAAATATAAGGCTGATTTATCAGAGTTTATACAATATCAACACTATAGCAAGATGGCGTATTAGCGGCAGTTTTGTAGCGGTCTTTCACTTACAAACACCGTTAGCTTCCGTGTTTTTATAAAACTTCAGGCGTTTATTATTCAAACGCCACTAAATATTCAAATAGTGGCATTTATACATATAAATGCCATTAAAGACAAAAATTAATGACGTTTATTAACTAAAACGTATTGAATAATCCTATCTGCTAAAATTGGAGTGATTATTGAAGGCATTTTAGACAAAAAACGCCTTGAATAATCTGTTTATAAAAAATAAAAGTGATTATTGAAGGCATTTTCTGTCAGAAACGCCTTCAATAATTCCCCTAAAAAAATTGTAGAGGATTATTGAAGGCGTTTTTTTGTCAAAAATGCCTTTAATAAATCTCCTTGTCAATAAATTTGTGAAAAATGGAGTAGTATTGATGGTTAGAGTATAAGGTTGTTAATTATAAGGTTGTTAATTATAAAGTCATAGGTTCGATCTTTTTCTTCAGCATTTTTTGAATTTTTCAAGGGATTAGGGGAATTATTGAAGGCGTTTCTGGCCATAAATACCTTCAATAATCCCTCAAAAAACCTAAAAAATGCTAAAAAAAGAGATTAAACCTACAACCTTATGATTAACAATCATATGCTATAACCGACAATACTACTCTATTTTTGATAAATTTATTAATAGAAAAATTTATTGAAGGCGTTTTTGACCAAAAACGCATTTAATAATGCTTTTTTTAAAAACGCATTTAATAATACTTTTTTTAATGAAATTATTGAAGGCATTTTTAGTAGAAAACGCCTTTAATAATCGCCTATATTTTTTATGAGCAGATTATTTAAGGTATTTTTACCTAAAATACCTTCAATAATCCCTTATAAAAAATTGAAAGGGATTACTGAAGGCATTTTTTTTTACAGAAAACGCCTTCAATAATCCCTCAAAAAATCTAAAAGATGCTGAAAAGAAGGATCAAACTTACAACCTTATGATTAACAATTGTATGCTCTAACCGACAATGCTACTCTTATTTTAACAAATTTATTGATAAGAAAATTTATTAAAAGCGTTTTTAACCAAAAACGCCTTTAATAATCCTCTACAATTTTTTAACAAAATTATTGAAGTCGTTTCTAGCAAAAAACGCTTTCAATAATGATCTCTATCTTTTATGAGTAGATTATTTAAGGCTTTTTTGCCTGAAACGCCTTTAATAATCTCTTCTAAAAAATTGAAAGGGATTATTAAAGCATTTTTTTTTACAAAAAATGCCTTTAATAATCATCTCTAAAAGAATTACAGGGGATTATTGAAAGCGTTTTTGGTTAAAAAAATGTCATCAATATTGAAAATATTTTTTGGTAAAAAAACACCTTCAATAATCTTCTCATATAAAATGAAAAGGATTATTGAAAGTGTTTTTTTGTAGAAAATACCTTTAATAATGCTCTTTAAAAATTAGAGGGGATTCTTGAAAGCGTTTTTGATATAAAAAAAAATGTCTTCAATAGTCCCTTCAAAAAAATGAAAAAGGATTATTCAATGCATTTTTTTTTTCAAAAAATGCCTTTAATAATCCTCTGGGTTTGGAGGGTTTAGGGTTGATTTTAGGGTTTGGAGATTTAGGATTTGATTTTAGATTTGAAGATTTTAGGGTTTGAGGTTTGATTTTAGGGTTCGGAGGGTTTAGGGTTTGATTTTAAGGTTTTGACTTTAGGATTTATTTTACTATTATTTTATTATTATTATCTTTTTTATACTTTTTTTATAATTTTTTTATAATAATTCCCTAACATCTAGGTGAAATTATTTTTAAAAGTATATTTTTATTCCCTCTAACATCTAGGCAGTGAAAATAAAATAAATAAATAAAATATTATTCAATTTTTATTTCTTTTAGATTATTATTATTATTATTATTAGCATTTTTAACATTTTTTTAGTTATTATCCTATTTTATTTTCATTTTATTATTATTAAAAACAATCAAATATTTATTCTAACAAATTTAAAAATTTATCATGCATAAATATAAAAAATTACTCAAAATAACAAAAATAATAATACATATAAAAAATTAGAAAATTCAAAAAAAAATTTTACCTGAACTGGACAGGTCAACGGTGGTTCGGTTGGACCGAAAAGGGTTCGGTTTGGCACGAGGTTCGGTTAAGATGGTTCAAACTGGTTCGTTGACGGTTCGTTTGGATCGATTGAAGGTTGGATGAGATGGATCAGCGGGTCGATTTACGTGAATCTCGAGTCAGGTCAATGGGCATGCGCAAATCTTCCTATACTCAAAACAGCGTCGTTTTGCTTTATGCTTAAAACAGTGTCGTTTTGCTTCTATGGTTTTTCTATAAAAGTCAGGTTTTTCTTTTAGTTCATTTCATCCCTCTCCTAAAAAAAAATTTCTTCAGCTTTCCCCTCTCTCTTTGGCTTTGTCAGAAACTGACGCTGTGCCGTTGCACCGACCGTCGCCTAGAGTCACTGTCGTTGGTCATCGCCGGTGGTCATTGATGGTCACTGATGATCGAAAAATTCCCAAAATTCATCGAAATACTCTTCTCGACCTTCTGAGCTCAGATTCGTCGTTTTCTTTACGAGAAAAAGCCCCGATCGACGTAGATCGAGGTTTAAAGTTTTTTGTTTTTTTTTTTTTTTTTTTTCTCTTTTTGGAAACTAACTGATGATTTTTTTTTCTTTAGTGCAAGTGGCTCGGTGCTGAGATTCCTCCTTATGGGAATGATTGTTTTTTTTTTATTTTTTTGTTTGGATGTTTGAGTATTTGGGGGGATTGTTTGTGGTCTTTTTGGTGAATGAGTCTGGTGGGAGTATGGGAAAGCTTTTGTGATTTTGGGTGTTCGAGGTTTTGGCTTATGTATATGAGGGTAGTGTGTTTTTGTGGTCTAGAGAGTCTTTCTGAGGAGAGAGTTGGGTTTTTTATAAGAGGTTGGATGGTGATGAA